ACAGGGGAGTGATTTGCGGTGTTACCTTCCCTTGGATTTCTTCCTTCTGTAACATGGGAATTTAGGCAGAGACAGCCAAATAGCTCGACTTACCAACTTTGGTCAAGTCAAGTATGTTTTCCTTAACAATTCCATATTTTTTACAATATTCCATAAAGTTTTCCTTGAGTTCTGGGCTTGCATCCGGTTCTCGGCCTGTGGGAAGAGTGACACTGACTTGCCTTGTGTAATTGGTCACAGAGGTACATTAGGTGACCGGGCTCCAGAGGGATGGGAAAATGGATGGCACCAATTGGATGCTGAGACAGAAGTCTTAGGGGGTGGGATAACCTCTCCTGAGTTTGACATCAGTAGGATATCTTTCTGGCATGACGAGAGATTTCATAATCTTCCTATCACTGAGCCTGAGGGTTTACCAAGGGAAAGCATCTGTCTTCTGAAGAGGAGAGATAGTCCAGGATAAGACTGAGAAGACCACTGTGTACCTCGGGTTCCTTCCTTCCCTTTCTCCCCACCCCAAGATGAATGCCAGCAAGAAAATACTCTACCAAAGAGAACCATAATTTGGGATTTTTCCTCATTGTTGTAATTGTTGACATGATAAACAATGTGGCCAATATAGTCAGTTTCAAGGATGGCAGCTACATTGTGCCCATCGTCTGTGGAGGAAACAGAATACAGCTCAGAACTTCTTTTGGTCCATGGGGAGCAGTTGAAACCCTTTACCTGTTCTTTCCCACAAAACAAATCCAAGTGCATTTCCTGGAAGAGATAGAGAGCGAGGATGTTCAATGCCTTCCATTTGCATCTCCCTGGGCTTTGTGAAGCGACTTCTAAAGATAGGGTAGATTGACTGCTAGTTGTTGAAAAATGTAGCCCACAGCAGCAGCTCACGCTTTATCTTCTTCCCTGATACTTACCCACGCCCCTCAGCATCTCGTCAGTGATGTGTCTTTGTCCTCTCTCTAAGCCCCACCGGCATCATGTACCTCATGCAACATCCTGAGTAACAGGTTGTGGCAAAGGCCACAAGGCATCATTAGAAACATGGCAGGGAATGAGAATCTGTCCTGCCAATTTACTTTTCTTTCCCTGCCAATTAGTTTTTGTTGCAGGAGGTACACACAACCAAACTGCCTTCTTCATCTGATGGAATTTCGTGTCAAGCATTGGCTTTTACATACAAAGTTTTCCCAAATTCAGGATATTGGCTATTAGATGGCCCCTGTTATATTACCTAAATAAGCATTGATCAAGAATTGATCATGATCCTGAAGATATTGGGGTTTAGCAAATTCCTTGCAGCTGGAAGTAGATTTTAGAAAGAAATTTTTTGTATACTTACATTCGACACTACATTCACCATCCTTTCCTGTTAAGTCACAAACCAAAGGAAGTTCATTGCACTGTCCATTCATGCTGTGAAACAGAACGAGTTAATGCCCAAAAGAAATTGATGGGGCTGGCTCCCTCCCCCTCTACGCTCCCCATAACTTGAGTTTCTGATTCCACCTAAGTTTCAAACATTTTTTTGTTCAGTCACCAGACAATATTATTTTGCTTGATTTTATCACTATTGCTACCACCACTACTTGCCACTGTTACTGTTACCACAGCTACTTGTCTAGATCATGAGCAGAGTGCTCACGACCTGGCAGCCTCACAAGTAAGTGCTTTACAAATGTTACCTGAGTTGGTCCTCACAAAAAGACACAAGGGAGAATTATTATCAACTCCTTCTACCCGCAGGAAGATGGAGGTGGAAAGAGATGAATTATCTGGGTAACAGAACTA